ACCGGTGCCCTCTAAAAAAACGAAAAAAAAAAACAGCAAGACCTATTTAAGAGTCTCGACTACGTTCATTACTTTTAAAAATGGTGTGAAACAAAATTATCGTGACATACAAGTTGTTCACTTCGAACAAAGGAAAATAATTGAAGAAGAAATCAAAACTCAAACCGCCCGCAAAAAAAAATCAGCATTTGAGCGTGAACAAGTTTTAAGATTTCTCCTGAAAAATATGATCACAGCCTATTTAATAGTCATCACTGCAATAATCTCATTAAAAATCAAATACTTGTAAAATTTATTGCATGGCCATTTTCGAAAAAAAACAACGGTTTGAACTGAGGACTAATTTCATGTCTACAGTTCAAGCTGGGATAATTAACGCGCAATTTATTAGTCCTTATTCAAGCGCAAGCGGCAAAAAAATATTACAAATTGAAATGGGGCAAGCAATTTGCTCTTATTAAAAACGTCAGACGCGATATAGATCGCTTTGCTTATACTGAGGCAAAGCTGCCATTTTGCAAACACGAGCGAGAAAGCGGCAAAGATTCAGGAGCTTTAAAACGCACAAAACTCAAATTTGCAAGAAAAATTTGAAATTTAATGACCTTAGAACAACCACAAAAACTTTTCATCTAGCAAATTAGAATGTAATAAACCAAATTGGTATGAAGTATTCATTTCAAAAATCTCATGAAGTATATGGAGTTGGAAATATCGAGAAGGGCTTGTAATTATTATACAGTTGTATGAAACAAATAACTGTTTTCGGTTCAACTGATGAATTAAAAGCATCAAATGTTATAACTTCTTACTACTCAAATAACAAAGCCCATGATATTATAATGCAAATGCAATGATAATGCTTATATCAAAGCCCATGGTATTATAATGCTAATATAACTGATTCAGAAGTGTCACAAAAGTTTTATTTGCGAGTTAGGTTGAAAAAAAAGTTGCATCGTACAATAATCACACTATACTCGGCTCGTGTAACAACCCAAAGTAGAAAAATATGAATCAAGAAATAGATATTTTCAAATTAAAAATGCTCATTATTTCCCCAAACATTTTGAGAAATTTTTAAATCAAAAAGCTTTCGATTGACATCAGAGGCAGTCAGAATATTCAGGCCTTCGTCTTTAAACAAACAGTCGTGCTTTATTCATTTCAAACAAAGCTCAATCACTAAGTAACAATTCAATTAAATTGTTTTCCGAAAAAAGTAATCATAGTGAGTTTCGAATGACTATTAGATGCTGGCCGTTGATACACAAGTATTTTCAATTTTTCTTTTTTGAAGGATTTTCTTCAATTTTCCGTCCAGGAAGACAGAAGGCCCGTTGGTAGATGGTCGGTCAACTGTATAAGAAAACCGGCACTTAAAACGTGAATGCTCGAAATCAACTCCACGAGCAGTAAATTGTTCTGAGCAGCAAAAACATCACCCCACTCTTCTCGAAACATAGAGCCGTTGAAATGTTGTTTTGGAGCCCAAATGACTAACTGAAAGTATTATAATACCTTGCTCGATCCCGTAAGAGCAACTTTGTAACATACTCTCTATGAAAAAAATCACCCACACGAAACTTCCTGTTCATTTCTCGTGAGCGGAGTATTAATACACAGTGCAGAAACTGTACTTCGCGAACAAGCAAGAAAACGATTACTATCAAACCGGCAAAAAAGCAAGAAAATTATATATTGAGCCTATAGAAAATGGAACTTCAAATGTTACAAGACTAATCGTATTAGGTCGAAACCCTGGATGTCAATTGCCCCTTTTGCGAGCCTGATGCAGTTTTAATGAAACCAATTGATGGCAACAGTACAAAACGATTGAAAAATTTTGCGTCTACTAGCCCATTTGAACCAAGTCGGATCACTTTGCAGCATTAGCAGAAAATTGGCATTTCTGCGCGCATTAATTAATCCAAATTGGTCCACAATTTGGATAAATTAAAAGCACAATTTTACGATTCATGGTCACATATAAAACTATTTTGAATTCTGAGCTCAGGACATCAACATCTTTCAGATGCTTAAAATTGTCACTTGAAAAATTGAAATGTGTCTGAAGAAAAACCACACTGAGTCACAAAAATAATCCTCTCTCAAAAAGAACTCTTAAAAATTTTCAATTAAATCATAACGGCATCTATAGAAGAACACACGAAATTACCGTTTCAATGTTTGAGTACGATATCCACATTCCATTTTTTCCAGTGATCGAAAAATCGCACCCCTCGTTCGATAGGGCGGTTCACAAGAGAGCCGTTATCAGCCAGCAACCAACACAAAATTCTAACAAAACTTCTCTCCTCGAGGTAGCTGACATGAAACAGCACCAATTACAGATCTGGTATCCGAAGAAAACAGTTTGATCTTCGTTGACGCTCATTCACTCCCCCTCTCTGGTTATCCAATATCACCGAGGACCAATAAGGGGCTAAACTGGACTCGCCTAACACCCCACTAATCTACCACCATCAAACGAGGCTCCCGTGCGTCACTTTTATTAATCCTACCACGGCATACACTTTTGAAAGTAGGCGCAGATTCACTTCCTATTTTATTTATTCCTAATTTATTTACTCTTCTCCGCAACAAAAATTGATCATTCGCTTCCCGCAAAACGATTTAAAATTAAAAGGATAACTGGAAAAAATGTATACACAAAAATGCAGACGTTTTAGCAAAGAAACCAATGCAACATGATGTAAACACCACTCTTGCTTCAGCGAGTCACCACATTCCCACCGGCTATCATCGTTTCTTTTTCTCAGCCCTTTTAATGGAATGCAACCACGAAACAGCAATGAAATCAGGCTTTATACATCCGATCTTATTTTTTCGATTTGAAAAAAAGATTTTGAGCGCAATTGCCAAGATGCAGAAAATAAATGGCGCGAGTTCCACCAGATATGCAGTCACTACATGTTGCCCAAAAACGTCTTGAAAATGATCCGCTCACAAAACGGCAGAAGGTCTATAATTAAAACCCACCCAACGAACTATCTCAAGTCGGATACATTTCAAAATCTTCCACGTACGATATATGAATTTAGGAATCCTCAACCCTCATAAAAGGAGCTTTAGAACGAGATGGTTTCTTTACAGTCCACGTAAAATATGAACAACCTTGAAGCACAGTGCTTCAACAACCTTTAAGCACGGTGAACAACCTTGATATAAGGCGAAAAACCCTTTGTGCTAATTACCGCAGCATATCCCTCCTATCCATGCCTTTCAAGAAACTAGAGGCAGTACTTAAAAATCAGCGCAGATAAGAGCATAGCAAGAACAAATCAGGCCGGCTTCAGAGCAAACATGCTGCAGCGACCAAAAATTTGCTCTCCGGCAAGTCCTTGAACAAAAAAAACTACAGAAGGGTGACTAACATGATCTTTATTGAACTTAAGGCTGCTTTTGACATGCGGAATAGCATGCGGAAACTTCAATAGCCTCAAAAAAATTCTGGAGCCAAAGAAAAATACCGGAGAAAGTGAAATGCACTGTATACAGTGCTTGTGTTGTAAGCACGCTCCTCTACGGAAGTGAAACCTGGCCCGTTAAAGTAGCTGACTTACGGAGATTGAAACGGTTTAAGACATCCCATACATTTTCATTAAACTGATTTTCTTGATCAGGACTTTTTTGGCCATCGAAACTACAGAAAATAAGATGACTAAGCCAATACAATACCAACCGAAACAAACTCGTCTAACACTTGCGATAAAAAAAAGCTCCACACCACTTACATACAAAAAGGAATGGCCGTGATTAAAAATCACATGAAAAACAAATCAAATTAGAAAAAAAAACTTTCAAAAACGTTTTGTCATGAAAATTTATTAAAAACGCAAAAACCCAAAAAGACTGGATCAAAACTACTTGCACACGATTCAAAATTTTACAAGAAGCTTTCGCAATACTAGAAAAAAAGCCGATCTTTCATAAAACCTTTCTGCGGGAACTAAGCTGGCAAAAATAAGCAGACAGACAGTTACAAATCTAAATTAGCCCACAACTTTCAGATTGCAAAGAGAACAACACCAACTGGAATCAAAACTCCGGGATTTGAAGTCAAGCATGTGTAAAATAATGTCTGGAATCCTGTTCTATTTGCAAAAAAAAACACGTCCAGAAACACAATCGAAGGCGATTATTGAAAATTCAAAAATTAAATAACAAGGATCAACTGAACCGACAAAACTTGAATAATTTCCCGTAGAACCTAAAATATAATTGTTGTCATCAAAAACGTTGAACCATAAATTCTATTCTAAGAATTTTAGGATTGTTTCGATAGGAACGAAGCATAAAACTATGCTTCCCTTGAAACGATCCCAAACTAAGTCCCTATGCCGATAAAATATGAGCCGAAATCATTTAAGTCGAACAAAATGTTAAGGAGAAAAAACAAGAACAGCAAAATATACGAAGTCAATAATAGTAAAATTATAAATTGCAGCGGTAATAGCAACTAAGAGCAGCAAAAACAGCTACATTGAAAATTGCGTATAAAAAACCAATTTTAGGAAATCAATGTGGCAACTAAGCCGACAAAACAAGAGCAGACAAACAATAGGCCGAAGTTTTTTTGGTAAGGAATATTATCAGTTTTAAAAAACTCCTGGTCGGATTCAAATCCAAACTTTGAATATAAAATTGAATTCATGTGAACCAAGATACAAGTGATTCTGTTAAACAAGTTGTTAACCCGAAAAAATTCTATTCCCATTTGATAACATTTGCTAATCGCAGGCGTAAGAATTGGAATTTCTCGATTTTTAATATCTTTTGCTTTGTACTTAATAACGTTGTATTTCAGAGAGTATTAAAAACACGCTCAAAATTTACCTACCTAGAATTTTTTAAATTTTCGGTATAGTAAATGCTTAATTCAATTACTGTTGGCAACTTTGCGGATTTCATGAGAGCAGAGAAGTTTTAGGGCCTCATTTGTTTCTTCCTTCAAAAACAAAAGGCAGAAAACTAACCTTAATCCAGGGATGCTGGAGCGCATCTTCGACTGTGAGCCTTGCCGCCTGGTCAACTTGTAATAATTTTGTACATAAATCTACTGCTTCTGAAGATACGCCTTCCCAAGATGGTGTCCTCATATTTAGTTTGCCCGTGACTATGGACTCGACTACCCTGTGTTTGGGCCCATTGAAAGGCAGAGAGCCCGCTATCAGGCTGAACAGCACTATGCCACATCCCCATAGATCAGATGGCTTGCCATAAACTTCTCCATTCGTGATCTCTGGTGACATACAAGACGGCGTGCCGACGTGTTCTGAAATAAACTCATGCCTGTCTCGATTCGTGAATTCATATTTGCCTGTCTCGATATGATTAATTATTCAATTAAGAAAAGCGTAATTTCACCTACACCTAAGCTAAATGACCCTCAAATAAGTGTCTGAAAGTTTAAAAAAACATAATTTCACCTGTTTTGATCAATCCTGAGTCCGGCAACATGGTTGCCACGTGGAAGCCACATATTTTAACGGGAGCTGAGTTTTCTTTAGAAGCCAGCAAGATGCACTGAGGCTAAACATAATGAGCTTTTATTATGAGCTTCATTTAAATCGCTCTAAACCGATGCCATGTGATGTTCAACCTACTTTGAGGTCTCTGTGAATGATGTTTGAATCGTGGCAATATTGGATGGCTTCTAGAATTTGTTTCATGTAGTGACTAAAACGAGCAAACACTTGGAGTATTTTTTATTGGCAGTCAAAATTAGCATCAGTTCGTCGCTAACCTGATAACTGTTTCACTGTAGACGAATCCTGCATCGGCTCTTGTGACAATTTCCTGGCATAAATCAGAACCTCCCATACTAAAAACAAAACGAGCTATCGAAGATGTGGTTCGGTACTACTATGATAGAGTGGTCCCTTGAAAATAACCAGGTCCCTTGAGAATACGACACCTCGAGCTCTCAAATCGTTTAATAATTATGATTACGCTTTTCAGAAAGAAGTCGCAGTATATTTTCAAACAAATTTCATGCTTTTTTACCTCTTAAAACCTCCCCCTCACCTTGATGATAAATAAGTCAACCCAATTATATGGTTGTTAAACCGTAAAATAAAGTAAAGCGAGAAAATTTCGATATATAAACAATAGTGATTACAATTTTCAATCTGAAAAGTTTCTGGCTGAACATATGTTGCAAGATTTTTGAAAAGAATAATTTATACACAATTTAGTTTTCAAAATTATAACATGCGAAATGCATGCGGGACCTGTCTATCATAGTTGCTTTTTCGAGGGACCACTCTATCATAGTAGTACCTGTGGTTCCGCTAATGAGATCATTTAATGTTAGCTAATTGTCACTCACTGTTCGTAAACCATGTAGAAAATTCCTCCTGAACTGTAGGTTTCAAGAAGCTCCACAATATGCGGGTGTTTCAACATATGTGAGAGGCTTGATATTCGCCTCAATTCTAGAACACGTCAAAATGTACAAAACAGGCTGTGAAAGAACGTCAATGCTCAATATATTGGGAAAGTTATCTCACCTTCGTAACTGAAAGATGACACAGCTGATAATTTTTCGTAATCTACAATTTTGACAGCAAACAGCTGTCCTGAATCTATGTGAACGCATTGGCGAACTTCACAGAAAGTGCCACTAAAATCAAAGATGATTTAATGAGTATTTATTAAGTTTTTAGTAAATTGAGTTAGAAAATGAAGTAGTTGTTCTAAAGAAGCTACATAGAAAACGAAACTGTGATTACAAACCTGCCAATTACATTTCCAAGATCATAAACTTCTTGGAAGGTAGGATCATCAGACTCCATGGTGCTCAAAACTGTCAAATTACATTAGTATCTCAAACAGGACATTTATGAAAACAAATTCTTTTTTGGAGACTATATGAAAGGTCATTAATAAGCATGGGCTGTTTGTGAACTGGATCTGATATATATTTGAAGTTATTTTCTCAAGTAGTTTTTCGGAATTTTTTTGAGTTTTTATTTTTTTCATTCAATATTTTGTGGCGCAATGTCTTTTTTTTGCAACGCAAGTGTTGCGAAGCTCAGCTTTGCCATTGTGTATGATTATTTTTTAAAATAATTCCCAGACCTATAAATTTACGAGGGTTTTGTGACTTGATTATCTGAGTGAGGTAACTTTGGCACCTCACTCAGATAATCAAGTCACAAAACCCTCGTAATTCTATAGATCAGGGAAATATAAAAAATGATAATCATAAACAATGGCAAATATAAGCTGCGCAACACTTGCGATGCAAAAAACACATTGAGCCACAAAATATTGAATGAAAATTAAAACTCAAAAAAAAACACCGAAAAACTACGTGAAAAATAACAAGTTTATATCAGATCCAGTTCACAAACAGCCCTTAAAGAAATGAAATCTTTTACCGAGCCGCAACAAACAGTGGATCGAAAACTAATGAGCCGAAAAGAAAAATTTTGTTACCCATAAAAACTGAAACACCTAATCACAAAGATATATTTTTCCCTCTGAACTAAGTTGACTGTCGATATAACGAACTGAAACACGAGAGTATTGGAGCTTCACCAAGATAGTGCCCTAGAGTTGAAGTCACTCAGCCTGGTAGTGGAGAATGAGAAATATCTACCAGGACTCATTGGCAAGACAAGATCAGCCAAAAACAGACCATAACAGAAAGACAAGGAGGAAGGTAATAGCGAAACGAGAGTAGAGGGATCAAACTGACGCTAGTTTAACAAACTGCTTGTGTTGTTGTTTAATCTTCAATTAATGCCTCGTGAGGCTCATTCCTCGTGGCCTGCAAAGAAATGTACTCAACAGTTCTCCTCTCGCCATTTGTATGATGGATTCTAAAAATTAAATTTTCGTGGAAACTAGGGCTAGATTATCTTGAATGGTAACGTAAGCCGAATAACTGTTTTCATAGAATTAAGCTTCAGAGAAAATGCTTACAAAACGAAATAGTACGGGCTTTTTTGCGATTCCGGCAGCCTAAAAACGTTTTTTTTTCTTCGGATGCGGTTCCTTGTTTTCAGCTAGAGCTCTACTGAAAAAATAAGGCTAGAAGTGACGAGAAGAACATTAGCGAGAAGTTAGGGAAAGTGAGAGTGGTAGTGCAGCGGAGGGTTGATGGAAGTTTTTGGCCGTCAGTTTTGCACTTCATTGTACACATGAACAGAAAGAACTCAAGCGCAGTGAATAATACCCATAAAAACAAATTCAAAAATTTCTCAGGAAGACAAGATAAACCGTTAGACAAAGAAGGTGATAGGTCATTGATAGCTTTAGAGAGCATTGATTTACCCAGGTTGGTGGGAGAAATGTTCTCCCTGGTACCCAAACAACCGGTTCGGTACAAATTCAAAAAAAAACAATATTCCGGATGATGCGGATGTTTTTATCCCAATTGAAATATCAGAACGTAACAAGGGAGTCGTTGTGTGAGATTGAAGCGGCGGCTAAAGCCTACGTAAAGCAAATGTAAAAGACAACATCTGATAGAAGGATGGAAAGAAAAAACAGAAAAACTCTCGAAAACAACGATTTTTAGCAGTACCATTTATGAAGGGGTTGGGTTTTGTATAAAAAAAGACCAACACGAAGCCATAATGCTGGAGTTCTACAGTCAGACCAATTTGAAACAATGAATAGCACTGATAAATTAGTGGTGCCAAAAACTGAGAAAAACATAAACCAAGAGCTGTTGAGTCTGAAAAAGAGCAATGACATAAATGAATACCTATACACCAGAATGAGGCCAACAGGTAGTCAACCGGCTCGTTTGTAGGGCCTTGCAAAAGTACACAAGAAAGACATACCACTGCGCCCTGTTAAGTTAATACTGCGCCTGGGAGTTAATAAGAGAAATTGAACAGAACAAAGTAAAAACTTCTGATAAAATTGAGCGAGCGTACATAGAAACAAACACGCAAGAAGCATGATAGATTGTTGAGAAGGTTAATTTAGACTCTGATGAGAACTCATATTCTTTAGATGTTAAAAGTTTGTACACTAATGTTCCACTCAAGGTACTTTGGACCTTGGACTCAGAAAGTTTTATGAGCAGGAGAAACCTCCTGTCATTGCACGCAATACTACGAAGAGATTATTAAACCTTGATGTCGGTCAAGTACACTTTAAGTGCAATGATATGTGGTAAACACAGAAGAATGGTTTGGCTATGCGAGCCTCTCTTGCAGTCATATTGACAAATCATGTTATACAGCAATTGATCAACAATGTTCAGAACACATTCTTGATTTTTTTTAAAAATCCAAGCTCAGAAGGCAGGGTCAGCAGTTTTCTACGTTTTCCAAAACTACGGGTCAAACTCTTTAGATTTTGGTTTCATGTGGTTTTTGATGTACGCACTGCCAATTTCTGTTCAACGACAAATTGTTAGCTCTTTAAGTTTTACTATTATAAGCCTTTAAGCTTTCCGACTTTTCAAGCCGTTCAAAATCTCAAAATTTATTAGCGAAAAGAAGCTTCCGCTGTCCATAACTCCCGTTACCAATTTGGACTTCAATTATAAGTCCACATTGAAGCAATTGGTTTTTTTAGAGCAAACACTGATTACGTTGATTTATTCCGTCCTTTTCGCATGGAGAGTTCTGCTTAATGTGATAGAGCTACCAGAGTAGAACAATTAGGGCAGTTTTTTGCCCAATAACCTCTTTGCTAGCTACATAGTCGACATTTGACAGAGTTGTTTTTCTTTCTGGGATTATCAGTTCGTGAGCTCTTTAGCTTGAAATAAGTTCGATGGAGCCATGAAGATGGAAAGAAAACAAAAGTGGACAACCAATACCCAGCATCTTGGACTGATAAAATTGTTTCGAGGCCCCTGGACAGACCCATTAAAGGAAAAGCGAACAAAATCCCTAGTAAGGATTTACATCAAGAAAGTATTGATAGTTCAAGCACATCATCCATGATGATGGTGCATTACCGAGGCAATGAAAGTCTGATAATTGTAAATAATAGGCGGAACAAAATCAAGGAACCAATTGTCTTTAACACCAGAAAGTTGAAAACCTACCTACTATGCTTAAAATCTTCCTTTTCGCGTGAACTAAAATGAAAAGAGGTTTACCAGATTTCATTTAGTGGATGTAACTCCACCTATGCTGGACAAACAGTTCGACATCTAACCACTAGAATTGACGAACACCGAACGAGGAATCCCCCTTTGGACATCATCTAAGGCAGTGTGGAAATGAGGGCACGAGCGAGGGAACATCATTGGAGGTTATAGATCAAGATAACACCAACTTCAAGCTACTGACACTAGAAGCACTTTGAATCTGGCAGGAGAAACCGAGAATATACACGCGCGGTGAGTTCAGGAGCAGGGAACTGTCTCTTAAGTTATAGTTCCGAAAACAATTTTTCGGCTAATACAAAACAATCAAGTATCGAATTAAAAAATTGTCATAACTCATAGAAATGGAGACAAACCGTAAAAGGAAAACCTAATTAAATTTAATTATAAGATATAAACAAAAAATGTCTCAAAAAATTAAGCCTGAAGATATAATCATGATGTAATTTTGGCGCGAAAATCAAAATTGAAAACTTCTGATTGTTTGATTTTTTAAAGTTTTGTATAGCCAATGTCTTATAACAACTTAATGAATGACGATCACTTTATAAAATTTTACAACTGTTAAACCTGATCATGCACAAACGTGCAAAAACGTTCGTAGCTTAGATATTTTTTCTAAAAAGAAGAAAAAAAAACAAGAAATCAGACATCGCCACGTTATAAAATTGTGCAGTTTCTGTGATAAAAGTTTTTTAAATTGAAATAAAACAAGCCTTGAAAAAATATTTAGAAAAAGTTACCAGATAAAAAAAACGTGGCGTTCAAAACAAATTAAAATTGAACCGACGGAAACTAGGACGAAAATCAGGAACCCGGTACATTGAGTATTTTTTTGGAGAGATAATTACAACCTGAAACGGGCTTGGACTAATGAATAGCTAAGTAAAAATTAATTATCTGATTTTTCGAGAGTATCAAGTAGTGTAGACCCTCTAGAAGGGATACTCTAGAAGTGAGGAATCTGTTGGACAAAAAAGTTTACCGGAAATATTACACGTCGATAATTTTTTTGTTCTTTTAATCTTTTTTTTCAGTATATCAGGTCAACAATTAGGGCGCAGGTTTCGCTGCGAGGGTCCATGCAACAGCTAAATTGGAAGAAAACAAAACCATATTCCGAAATTTCAATTTGTTTTTATCAGTAGTCACAGTAATTTACGGAAGTTAGATTTGTTTCGTAAATTATTGAGGCTATATCTGGTTTTTATTGATTAATTGCCAATTGGTTTCGGGAGATTCAAATTTTCTCCGTTTCTCCCGGTTTTCTCCACTTTACTCTTTGAAATCGCTAGGATTAGCTGAGCAAAATATGGATCTTCTCAACTGTGTTTCTGTATGCTTTTCATATAGTCTTGACAAATGTTTACAATGAAGTATTACCACTTGGCAAGTCGTTTGACATAGTATCGTCATCGTTAAATAATGCTGTCATTTCACAGATGTCATAACTTCTCAAATAAGTTCAGGTTTTAACTTTTACTTTTCCCTAGAAACACTTCCGATTCCCTACACTCGTTACTCCCAGCTTCTTGCTGTTATCAAGGTACTTTTGACATTCTTAAATTGGCCATGAAGATTTCGAATTCTTCGAGAGAAATTGATGGCCTATTCACCACATTTTATAGCTGCAAATGTTCCAATGGAGTGCTTTTTGCAGGTTTCCATTTTGTTTGAGTGCAAATGCCATTTTTACTCAATGATACTATTTCAGTCTTACTTATGTTTCCAAAAACAATTGCTACT